TTCCCACACCAAGCTGAGTCTGCCCCAAGGCCCAGGCAGGGATGCAGAGGTGGAGGGGGAAAAGGAGATTCACAGATCCTGAGAAAGAAAGATGGAAAGACAGCAAAGAGAAACACATGGTGAAGAAAAAGAGACAGAAAGAGACAGACAGGAAGAGACAGAAAGATACACAGAGTGAGATCTTGAAAATCAAAGACTGGGAGCAAGAGAGGAATTGAGAAAAGGGGAGAGACAGAGATGTCCAAAGAGATGGAAGACAAGGAGATGCTAAAGCCAAGATGGAAATTAAGAGAGGCACAGAGCTGATGAAAGACAGCGATCTGAGAGGACAAAAAGAGAACTGGAGAGAAACCTCAAGAGATGAAATAGAGACAAGGCAGGAAGAGAGACATTTACAAGGATTCAGCCAAAAACAGACTGAGAGAAACAGAGTCTGAATTAGAGAGAGACAGAGAAAAAAAAGACACAGAAATAGGGATGAAACAAAGCCATGCCTTCATTCAATGAACATTTACTGGGTGCCCACCGTGTGCTGGGCACTATTTTAGGTGCTGGGGATACAGAAGTGAACAATACTCAACGCTTGCTCTTGAAAAGAGCTTGAAAGGAACTTTCCTGGAGGTCCAGTGGTTAAGACTTCACCTTCCAAGGCAGAGGGTGTGGGTTCGATTCCTGGTCAAGAAGCTAAGATCCCACATATCTTGTGGCCAAAAAACCAAAACATGAAACAGAAGCGGACTTCCCTGGTGGACCAGCAGTTAAGAATCCACCCGCCAGCACCAGGGACATGGGTTTGATCCCTGGTCTGCGAAGATCCCACATGCCGCAGAGCAACATGGCCCAGGTACCACGACGACTGAGCTTGTGCTCTAGAGCCCGGGANCCCCATCATCACCCTGGGCCTGGGCCCTGTGCCAGGCACCTGGCGGAAGCCTGGGTCCAGCAGGGCAGGGTGGGCGGGAGGGTGGGCTGCATTCTTGAGCAGTCTGCTCCAAGTACAGACACAGCCACATCCCCCACCCCTGGCCCATCCAGGCCTGGGTCGGCCCCACCCCACCCCAGCACAGCCCACACTCCCAGGGCCAGCCGGAGGGAGGGCACGTTTATCTGCCATCATGGCCTGGCCTCAGGTGGAGATGCCCACTGAGGGGCCTGGGGAACTGGAGACCAGGGTGTAGCAGCAAGGGTGTAGGACATTTGGGGCATCTGGGAGCCAGGACATTGGGAACAGAGATGGAGGAGTTCAGGACAGGGCCTAAGTATGGAGATTCAGGGGGGTCAACTGTGGGAAGGTACCCAGGAGTCATAGGATAGGCACGGAAGTACCAGGCTGAATGGCACTAGGGGACTCCTAGTGAGCATCTGGGAGACAAGTACAGCATACAAGGCTCCAAGAGCAATGGGTGTGGAATCGACAAGGGCTCGGGTGTGAGTCCCTAGGTAACGCAGGCATGGAGCACAGGAGTGCCAGGCTAATGCACACATCACTAGCAGTGTTTTATGAAGTGCATTTAGGAATCAGGGTGTATTCAGGAATCAGAAGTACAAGGTACAGGCTTCCCTGGTAGTCCAGTGATTAAGAATCTGACTACCAGTGCAGAGGACACAGGTTCGATCCCCAGTGCAGGAAGATCCCACATGCCTCGGGGCAACTAAGCCTTTGAGCTGCAACTACTAGAGCCTGGGCACCCGAGGGCCTGTGCTCTGCACCAAGAGAAGCCACTGCAATGAGAAGCCGGCACACCGCAACTAGAGAGTAGCCTCGGCTCGCCACAGCTAAAGAAAGTCCACTCGTAGCGACAAAAACCCAGTGCAGCCAATTAATTTTTTAAAAAAGCATAAGGTCCAGCATTCATGGGCCCAGAAGTGTCCAGGGGATTTAGGAATGCACAACTACAGGACAAGTAAGATGGACCCAAAGGTGCTATGGAGGGTGTACCTGTTGATTTGGTGCGCTGACATGAAAATGCTAGTGCGTTAAGACTACCAAATAAGACAGCCTGAGGCAGGTGCACACGTGCGTCGTGCATGCGCGCGCACACACACACACACACACACGAAAGGCCAGGAGAATCCAAGCACACCAATGACAGGGAAAAGAACTGAGCGCAGACTTTGGGTTGACAAATTACAGAAAGAGAGGTTGGCAGGTGCCCACTCCTCCCACATTCAGTCTCCACCCTTGCTCCACCCAAGACCCCAGGGGAATAAAATAGAAGAAATGAGGAGCTGCGGGCATTCAGGATCAGGGCATGATCTCTGGCATTATAGCGCTGTCATTGCTGNGGGGCGGGTACTGAGGGCCCAGACACCTAGTTCTGAGGGGGCAGGGGGTTGGGGACCTGAACTTCTAGATTTTGAGGGAAGGCGGAGGGGCTGGGCTCCTGAATCCGAAGGAGAAGGGAGCTGGGGGTCGGGCTCTGGGGTCTCGGCGGCGGAGGGGTCAGGAGCCCAGACTGGGGCCCGCTGACCACCGGCTCCGTGTAGCTCTCTGGCCGCTGGGGTCTGGTGTTTACGGTGTGGCTGGGCCTGCAGGGGTGCTGTGCGTCTACGCAACGCTGCGGGACGCACTGGTGCAGCAAGCAGATGCCTTCTCCGGCCGCGGGGCCACGGCAGTCTTCGAACGCTTCACACGCGGAAACAGTGAGGCCCGGGGGGCGGCGGAAGTGCGGACCCGGAATATCCAGTCGGCGAAAAAAACCCGGATCTGAGAAATGGGGCGGGGCCTCTTAGAGTCAAGGGTAATGAGGAGAGGTTGGGGCGGAGCTACACTGTAGGGGTCGAATGGGAGTAGGGGGGCTGGTTCCTTGGGCAGCCCCTAGAAGAGCCTAAGAGTCAAAGCCAAACAGAGCAAGCACTGGTCAGGGGTCAGAACGAGCAGAGGCGGGGTCAATGTGTGGATAGGGCCGAGAAGGCTGGGGTGGCGTCCAAAAGATCTGGAAAAGCTGAGCGAAGAGTTGCGAGAAAGTCGGCTCCCTCGCGGGAGGCTTCTGGGATGGGGCGTGGCCAACTTACCACCTCTCACCTCTTCCCAACAATCCCCACCCCCAACACCTCCCCCAAGGCATAGCGTTTTCTAATGGGCCGCGCTGGCCGATGCTGCGCAATTTTGCACTTGGAGCACTTAAAGAGTTCGGCTTGGGTATGCGGACCATCGAAGAGCGTGTCCTGGAAGAGGCGGCTTGTCTGCTTGGTGAAATTTCAAGCCACTGGAGGTACGGCCTGGAAAAAGAGAGGGACCATTTGTGGGCGTGGGCTCTGGTCTAGAAAAGGCCGAGCGAAGGCGTTTGGGTGGAACGAAGTCAGTAACCCAAGAGCTGGGTGGGATCTGAACCACCCAGCGTATGACCTCGTCATGTTCCCACCTCTAGGAGCCCCGTTCGAACCCCGGTGGTTACTGGATAATGCTGTATCTAATGTTATCTGCTCCATGGTCTTTGGGAACCGCTATGGCAATGAGGACATGGAGTTCCCGAGGCTCCTGGACCTTTTCAATGACAACTTTCACATCATGAGCTCTAGGTGGGGCGAGGTGAGAGGGTCATGTGCCCAGTCTATGCCAAACCCAAGTGCATGGATCATTAGAATGGGGCAGTCTTAGAAGGTTGGAAGTTTCGCAACTTACAACAGCGAAGTCCTGGTCCACAGGGAATTAATGGTCTTGTTCAAGGTCCTATTGATTTCCTGTCCCCCCAGATGTACAACATTTTCCCCTCCCTCCTGGACTGACTCCCAGGCCCACACCACTGAATCTTCAAAACTTCGCAGAGCTTCGGGTTTCCATCCCTCAGCAAATCCAGCTGCACCAGCAGACGCGGCAGCCCGGGAAGCCCCGCGATTTCATCGATAACTTCCTAGATCAAATAGATAAGGTACAGGGCCCTGCTGCCCACCAGCAGGCACCTGGCACACAGCAGCACCTGTCTTCTGTACCCATAGGAACAGAAGAACCTGGAGAGCCATTTCGAGGCAGAGACGTTGGTGATGATGACACATAGTCTCTTCTTTGGTGGTACAGAGACCACAAGCACCGCCCTGCGCTATGGACTCCTCATTCTGCTCAAATATCCAGAGATGGTACGTCTGCAAGCTGGAGAGCTAGGGATGAGGGGGCTGGGGTTTGGGGTCAGCTGGAGGCTTAGGTATGCATAGTTTACACCTCTGGTGGCCCCAGCCAAAGTGCAGGCTGAGCTGGATAATGTCGTTGGCCGAAAGCGCGCCTCAACCCTGGACTGAGAGCGCCTGCCCTACACCAACGCTGTGCTGCACGAGATCCAGCACTTCATCAGCATGGTGGCCTTTGGGCTCCCGCGTGCTCTCACCTGTGTGGCTACTTCCTGCCCAAGGTGCCCATTGAGTCTGGGGATTCTGCACAGGGCCGGGGACGGCCTATCAGCTGGTCTGAGCGTTCACCGCTGATGGACAAAGGATTCCTTGCGTTGGCTTCTAACCGGGGTCTTTTTTTTGAGTAACCTTGGCACATCTCCCCAGGACACCTTTGTGATTCCTCTGCTTGTGTCTGCACACCGGGACCCCACCCAATTCAAGGACCCAGAATGCTTCAACCCCACCAACTTCCTGAATGACCAGGGTGAGTTCCAGATCAACAACGCCTTCATGCCCTTTGCCCTAGGTCTGGGCTGGGCAGGGAGGGGACCAGTCAGGACGTGCTCTGGCATGCATCGGTTTCTCACTCCGCACCCGTTTCCCCAGGAAAGCAGACGTGCCTGGGTGCAGGCCTGGCCCCAACCTCACCTCCATTCTACTGCGGTTCTGCCTGCTCCCTGCGGGGAGCCACTCCGACACAGACCTCGCCCCACAGTGCCCTAGCCTGGGCAAAGTGCCCCCAGCCTTACAGCTCCGCCTCGTGGCCTGCTGAAGTCAGATTCAGCTCAGCTCACTGGCTCTCAGACCTCCTTACCCTTTTCGGTCCATGAAGGCCTGAACTGCAGATGGAGGACTCTTCTTATCAAAAAGAGGGAACAAGAGAGTCAGATGTGTGCAGCTCTGAGGTAAACTTTTATTTCTTGGCTGACAGGACTTGCACACCCATGCTCCTCCCAGCACCTTTTATCCTGCCCAAGCAGTGGCAGCCGAGTCCAAAAGGTGCCATGGAGACAGGGGTTGGGGAGTCACTTCACATTCCAGGCTGGAGGAGTGGGGGGCTTGGGGATAGTCCCCCACAAACCTTTGCCAGCAAGAGGCCATGACTCACCCCAACCCCAGATCCTGCGTCCTGGCGGGAGGTGGCGATGCCTCCTTCCAGCTCTCCAAACCTGAGAGGGCCATGACCAGGCAGGGCAGGACACAGGCCCCCAGCTCCAGTAACGGCAGCCCCCAACACTGGCTCCTGTCCAGGTCACAACCCCCGTCCCCATCCCAGGGCAGTAGAGGCCTCTCCTCCTCCTTGGTCCTCAGCAGTGGACGGAGCCCTCCACACCAGGCAGGACGGAGGCAAAGTCAGAAGCAGTGGTGGTGGCGGGGAAGGAGCAGGCACCAAGACTGGCAGCACCGGGGCCCAGGGCTCTCCAGAAGCCAGGGCAAGCTGTCTGTCCATGCAGCTCTGGGACTGGCCACTAGGTGGGCGTAGCCGGCTGTGACACGGGCACCTGGACACCTTTCTGTCCTGACGCTGTGGAGGAAGAGGGACAGCGGACTGAGTCATCAGGGGAGGAACAGAGGCCAAGGAAAACCGGGAAGCTTGGGAGAGCGTCACAAGAGATGGGGCTCATGCTGGGGACACCAGGTGAGTCAACTGTCTAGGGAAGGTAGGCGAAGATGGGGAAAAATGAGCTGTAAGGTTCAGTAACTTGAGATTCATCAAGAGATGATGAGATTCATCAGAGATTGATGAGACAGCTTGAGGCCTAAGGAAGTACATGGAACAGGAAGGACTTGAGAGGCGGGATCACCATTTGGGAAGCAAGTACCTAGCTGATACTTGTCTTTGGCTGCTGCTCGCTCCTTGGCATCAAAATACCAGACAGTGATGGCGTACCTGGGGACCAGAGCAGCCCCAGAGGGCCATTAGAGATCACTCTTAATTCCACCGTCTCCATCCCCCCAGGGACCCCCCTCTTGGCATCCCAGTCACTTCCTAGTCACTCCAGGGGTCTGATAAGACTGCTGGCGCAGGCAGAGTAGCTGGGCACATCCCCAGAAATACAGGTCGTACCTGGTGGCATAGGCTGGTTTCACCTCATGGGGGTTCCGCCGATCAGACCAGAAAATGAGCAGCCGGTCGAAGAGGGGCTCAATATTGGCTACCACGGGCCGGCCCTCAGGAAATATCTGCAGCAGGCCGCCATGCACCTAAGGGCGGGCCAGAGGATGAGGCAGGAGGCTGGCCAGCACTGCCTGGAGCCCCGCCTCGCCTTGCACAGCCAACCCACAAGGGCCCACCAGGGGGCATAGTAACCGCATACATCACTCCCTCCCACCACTCAAGACTCTGAAAATGAATGACAACCCGGAGTCTGCATCACCATGGAAATGGGCAGGAAGCTACAGAAGACGACAGGAAACGGGGCGGGGGAAGTGCTCCTTAGGCTGGGGGCTGGGCAGACCGCACCATTACCCAACACCAGGAGCCCCCACCCCCGAGTCAGCTGGAGAGGAGGCGGCGGTGCCATTTCCAGGAAGGGCCCTAAAACGTTACACCGCCCCCCAGTGGGCTGCGAAGAGGACCTGGACCATACAAGCAGCTGAGCGGGGGAGAGGAAAAGGCTGTGGATGAATGCCATCCCACCCCACCATCCTACCTTGACATCCCAGTTCTGATTCAGGTAATAGATACAAGTGATGCAGCGCCCGTCGCCATGGGGATTGTCAACGTGTCTCACGTACCCCAGCCCGTTTCCTGGGTAACATGCCACCATGGCCTGGCAGAGATGATGGAGATAGGGTTTACTGATAGGCAGGGACTTTTGAGCAAGCCAGCCATTACCTCCTCTTTCTCACCCCTTTCAGCCCCTCACCTCTCCTCAAGGGTCCTGGGGGCTCCAAGTGTTCCAACTCCCAGACGCTCCTTTTTAGCCAAGCCTCTATCCACAAGAAACCTCTGCTCCTGGCCCCAAGAGCCCACTTCCCACACACACATGAGGCACACAAAGACTGAAGGCAAAAGGAGAAGAGGGCACAGAGTTTGAGATGGTTAGATAACACTACTGACTTGATGGACATGAATTTGAGCAAACTCGAGATAGTGAAGGACAGAAGCCTGGCATGCTGCAGTCCGTGGGGTCACAAAGGGTCGGACACAACTTGGCAACTGAACAACACACACATGCCCAGAATGTGGAACCAAGAAGCAGCTCAGTGACTGAGAGTTTGGTTTTCTAAGACAACCCAATCCCAACCTCAAACCTTTCAGTAAAATAAAGTCAATTTAAATGTTATTTAAACGTTTTCTGTACAGGGATGCGGACTTAAAGCCCCACACAAGGAGTTCTCTCCCAGAGCTGTGGAGTTGGAATAACCTGGGACACTGATGCCCAGGCCCACCTCAGAGGTTCTGAGGTACTTGGCCTCAGGTGCAGCCTGGAATTTTTAACGGTTCCCAGGTAACTCTAATTTGCACCATTATTGAGACGCACTGATTATAACGACAGAGACTATCTGATAGATACAGTCTCCTACACATGTGAACAGTACCAAAACGTGTAACGTGACTAGAACCTGAGATCTAATCACAGCTCCAAGGATAACCTGTCAAGTAGCCTTGGATGGTCTCATCACCTGAACGGACCTCAAATGCCTCACCTGTAAAACGGGGATAACAAACACCTCCTGTTTACAGCAGTAGCATGAACCCCTCCGAGAATATGACTCTGTAGGCTCCTGATCCCCACAGACCTAAGAGTTAGGCCTCATTCCGGGCCATGGCTTCCATAGGTAGAGGTCTAGCCACAGGGTTTTCCCCTTCTCTCCTTGACTGCTGCTACTGCCCAAGCCAACCCTAGCCATGCCGAACTCTGGGCCTGGCCACTCCGGGCCTGTTTCTCATGAGGTATCCACAAGATGACAGGTTTGGTGTGAGGGGATAGGCCCAGCAGGCTTCCCTGGTAGCAGACGATAAAGCGTCTGCCTACAATGTGGGAGACCTGGGTTCGATCCCTGGGTCAGGAAGATCCCCTGGAGAAGGAAATGACAATTCACTCCAGTATTCTTGCCTGGAAAATCCCATGGACTGAGGATCCTGGTAGGCTACAGTCCATGGGGTCGCAAAGAGTTGGACACAACTGAGCAACTTCACTTTCACTTTTCCCACAGAGCTAACCCCTGGGTTCAAGTCTCACTGCGGCCTCAAGAACTGCGATGCTGGGCAGGGGACTGAACTCTGTTTCAGGTTCCTCATCCCTGAAATGGAGCTTAACGACTACTTCACAGCTTGCTAAACAAGACAAATGTCTGGGGAAGCGCCCAGCATGATGCCTGACACATGACAGAGTTAAAAGCACAGGCTGCAAGTCTAAAGGTCCCTGTCCTGTCCTCTGCCCACAGCCACTGGGAAGGCTGGACAAGGTGAATGAGGGAGCACTGGCATGAAGCTCCCCACCTGGGGACCCTCTATGTCGACCCCTCGACCCACACTGATGCCAGGACAGACTCCGCTGGCCCCTGCTCCCTATAATGCTCAGCTACACCTGGGGGCCACGGCCATCTGCCACAGCCCTGGGGTAAACATTCCCAATCAAAAAGATCGGCATCTGCTGCCAAAACCAGGAGGCTTACCAGGCACTCCATGGCAGGCCAGGCTGACTCAAGCCCTCGGCCTCCTCCCAGCTTATTATTCCCCGGGGCTCACCCCAGCAGAGAGTAAGCTGCTCTGTGTAAACTTGTGCACCTGGCCCACCACAGCACCTGCCCCGGGCAAGAAGCCAGGACAACGGCCACCACCATGGCCACCCAGTGGGGCACCTTTCTCTCTGGCAACATGAGGGCAAGGTCCTGGCCCCCACAGCCCCAGGTTCCAAAGAACTTTCTTTGCACTGCTCACTCCCTGCAGACGGGTCAGTGCTCTGAGCAACTACCTCACTACAATCAAAGGATCCCTGGCTGTGGCCAGAATTGGGGGGTGGCCTGGAACCAGTGAGTCACTGATTAGGGACAGGCAAGCCCTCCTCCCCAGTGAGAATACGAGCCGAGAGTTTGCCCATTTTGTTTGAGGATGGGGTGGGCAAAGGGGTCCAGGGCTGAAACCTCTTCCCCCACATACCATCCCCACACAGCTGCCAGAGACCCTTTACTCCCCCTCACCACAGCTCAAACCCCTTTAAGTTCCTCAGTGCATCCCCAGCGAACACAAATTCCTGACCACAGCCTCCAAGGCCACCAGCCTCCTAAACTACCTCCGGCCTCACAGTCCTCCTGACTCTTCCCTGACCAGGCTGAGCTCACCCCCCAGGCCTCTGCATCTGCCGGGAACAGTCTTTCACTGGTCCCCCTTGTTAGTCAAGTCTCAGGACCAGGAGCACCTGGGCTGACTTCCCCTGCCGTCCCCCTCAAAGTGAAATCAGCACAGGCACTTGTTTACCCAGCACTGCCCCCCAGGGCCAGGCCGGGCTCCCTAGGGCCAAGAAGGGCGCTGCTGACTGAAAGTACTCTTCTGGGTCTCGGGGTCTCCATGTGTCCTGCCCATGCACCCTCACAGGACCTCCCACCGTGCAGGCAGGGACACACATTGTAGTCTTTCATGAAGCAGGGCTCCTGTGTCAGGCTAGACACAGAAGCAGGCCCTTTAAGGCCCCACCCTTCCCCCCACAGATACTCACCTGGGAGTTGGGGGTGAGGTAAGCATCCTCTGGCCTGAGAAGCATCTACTTTCCAAGCCCACAAGGGAAAGGGACAACAAGCAGAGTAACATGGAAACGTGTTCTTTACACTTCCATCTCCGGGAAAGGGCAGCTAGCTTAAGGGGCAGCTAAAATCAACATGCTAAGAGCCCCGCAAAGCACACACACACAGTACCCACCCATCCCAAGTCTGAATCCCAGGACTGAGCCAACAGCAGCAGGCCCCACCCCAAACTGGTCTTAAAAGGGCCTCCCCAGGACCCCTATGGTATACCTTGAAGGCAGTGCAAATCAATTCCCTCCCACCTGCCGGTCAACTGAGCAAAGGAACCAGGAAGAGAAGGCAGGCAGAGGAACACAGTTCAGGCTGATTGGCTGCAGCCACACTGGTGACCTGAGCCCCCCACCACTGTGGCCACCCAGCATCTCAGCACCCCACGCCATCTTACTCGAGCCTGGGGCAGAACCCAGATGTTGCCCTCTGAAGGTGAGGAAGCTGAAGCTGCTGTCTCACTGGGGCAGGGGAAGGTCAGAGAGGAACTCCAGTGATTGGGTTGGCTCCTCCCCTCCCTTCTCAGTCCAGCCAGGCTTGTTCTTACCTCCTAGGGCTAAAAAAGTCTCAACCCCCAGTCACCCACCCCCTCCAGGGCCGTTTCCAACCACATCCAAGGCACTGAAGGAGAGGACAGTCACACATTCTCCTTTCCCTCCTAAAATGGCCACAGACCAGCCAGGCAGTTAACCTGGTTTTCCCATCCTGTGATAAGCAAACTGAGGTTCGGAGAAGTATCCCGCTTGGGCTATCCAGTTTTTGTGGTCTCCCCCTAACCTCCCGCCCGTGAGGATGGGTGACCCTGGGGAGAAGGTGCTGGGCGCCCTGTGGCTGGAGGATTCCCACTGACCTCCTGCCCCTGAAGGGCTGCCTCCAGAACCAAGGTAACAGGAGGGAGAGCAGAGTGGGGCCAATTCCAGCTGGAGGGGGGGAGCCCAGTATGGCTTCAGCCTGGGGGGAGCCCTGGTCCCTGAGCCAGTTCCTGCCTGAGAGGAAAGCTGCACAGAGGCAGAACCCAAGATGGGATCTGAGGGAGGAGGGAGGGGACGCCAGGAGCACAGCCTCATGCCTGCAGGGCAGAACACAGCCTGTGCCATCAGCCAGGCATCACTGGTGCAGTGCAGCGGGCACTCCCTACAGGGCCTTGTCCAACCACCACCAAACCGTGAACTCCAGGCCAGGCCCTCACACCCCGCCATCAAAGACAGTTAATGTGCTGGCAGGCTGAAAGGCCCTATGGACTATTGTCTTGTGCAGGGCTCCTGACCCCAGATTCCTGAATGGGCAGCTGGAGGCCCAGAAGGCCCTGATGACTGCCCATAAACTCCAATCAAATGAGCGTTTTTCTTAAGACAGGGTTTGGTTTTCAGCAGATTTAAGGGAAAGAAAAAGATTAATAACTACTAGTCTAAAACAAAAAAAGGGGGTCAAGAGGAGACCCAAAAGCAGATCAAGGAAACAGACCAGAGCCAGACCAGGATGAAGTGAGGGACAGACAGAACAGAGAAGATGGAGGACATGGACTAGGCTGGGGCAGGATGGGAGAGATGTGGTCATGACCGCCACCTGAGCAAGCACACGGCCACCCCTGGGAAGCCGTCCATGAGGCAGACGTCACAGTATGGCATACAGGGTGCAGTGCAGCCCAGCACAGGCGTGGTGGGCATCTTCCCTCAGCCTGGCATGGGCCTCACCATTGCCACCCTCCCCTCCCGGTTCTCCAACTTGGGGAGACTAGACAGACAAGACACGCACAGTGGACAGGATGGACCAGATACACTTGGATGGATGAAAAAATAAGGGGACAAAAAGAACACAAGATGAGCAGAGACAGAGGCACAAACCTCGTCTACTTGCTCTAAGGCCCATGAACAGACATCACGGGGCTGTTGACCCCACCAGGGCTCAGACACAGATGTGGGGCTATGAATGGCGGCACCTCTCTTCAGGTTCTTTGAAAGGATCCCCGGCAAAGTCAAGAATCCCAGTGACTATGGGCCAGACCCACAGTTTGCAGGTGCACAAACTAAGGCCCACAGGACACAAGAGTCCACAGTGAGCTCTGACACTCCCTGCACCAGGGCTGCCTAAAACCCTGTCCCCAAACCCACTGATGCTCAGAACACTAGGCATCCAAGTGCCAAGTCCCCGTCCCCCCACCCCTCACAGCAGGTCCCTGCAGCCTCACCTTGGTGCGCCCATTGATGACGTAGCTGCCCAGCCTCCCAGCACAGTGGCGGATGACGGCATCCACGTGGGCCATGAGGGCACCGATGCTTTGGCAGCCCGGCTCATGGCCTTCCACCCAAGCAATCTGGTCCCCACGGATGCTGCGTGGCGGGATAGCCCGCTGGCTCACAAGCTGCCCGTCTCGCAGGCGCCCGCCCCGCTTCAGGGCCTCTACCTCCGCCAGCACTTGACCACCCAGGGCTGCCCCCAGAAAGCTGTCCTTGACGCAGATGCCATAGTACCGCATGCAGGGCACAATGTAGTCCAGGGCCAGGCGCTCAGGCGCCACAGGCAGCACCTCCTCCCTCAGCCCGGCGCTGGCCTCACCACTGCCACTGCTGCAGCCCTCACCCTCCGCCTCCTGGTTCTCCTGCCTGGCCCAGGGCCGCTTGCTGGGTGCGGGGGCATCCCCACCATCCTCTGCCCACTTCCGCTTGGGGGCCTCGGGCCGGGCGCCCTGGGCTGCCAGCCGCTGGCACCCCTTGGTGACCAGTGCCGCAGCACCCTCACTCTGCAGCGGCCGCAGCTCGCCGCCATCCTGTCCACCGAAGCCCTCCCGCAGGGGGCTGGCTGTGGTGGAAGTAGCTGTGGCTCTGGGGGTCCCGCTCCCTGCCGAGGCCTCAGTGGGCGCTCCTGGACGGTGGTAGGACAGCAGGGGACAGGGTAGGTAACTCTCCACCCCCATCCTGGCCCGGCTAGGCTCCAAGGGCTCTGACACCGAACCCGGCAACTGAGGGAGAGCCTGACTCAAGGGCTGGGGCTGGCACGGGCTGTCCATGGCAGCAGTGTCTTCATCCCCCGGGCATGGAGGGCACGGCCCAGGCCCATGGTGCCACCCTCCTCCACCTCCTCCTCCTCCACTTGATGCAGCCGGGGGCCGGGGTGGCTGGGCCTGGCGTGGGGCAGGATGAAGCAGGGCAGGTGGCAGAGGCTTTTCTCTTGCCCTGGGGGTGCTTGCTGGTCCCCAAGTCCTCTGCTGTCCCTAGGGGCTTGGGAAGGGACCTGTCACAGTGGCTGGAGAGAAAAAAAAAAAGGAAAGTAAGAAGAGCTACACAGGCAAGTGCACTGGAGGGGGATGGGGGCAGTGGTAGGGGCAGTAGAGAGGAAGACAGACTTAGCTACAAAGACCCCAAAACCTGAGGTCATGGCGGGGGGTGGGGGCGGCGGAGACTCTGGGACTTGGGGGGAGTCAGGAAGAGACAAGGGGCAATAAAAGGGACAGCTGGAGAAGTGAGGCTGGTTAGGTGACCCACAGCCAAAGGACTGCAGTGGGGGCTATGGGTGAAACACATCCTCAGACACAGACCCACAAACAAAAAAGTAGAGGAGGGGACTCTTAGTAGAAAAGGATGGCGGAGTGGGAAGTAGAAGTTAGAAACAAACGGCGAGGACTGGGGGAAGGGGGGGGGCGGATCAGCCTGGAAAACACAGAAGGAAAGTGGGGATCTACAGACAGTGGAAAATGGGGGGGGGGGGTGTCCCGAAACAGAAAAAACAACAGAGCGGAGAAGTGAAGAGAGTGGGCCTGAGACAGCCCGGCAGAACCGGGTGAAGGGGTCGACCCGAGCCCAACAGGAGGAAAGCCCGTTAGGGGCTGACACACACCCAGACGGAAGGGAGGTCCTGAGACGGACAGACGGAAGGGAGCCGTGGGAGCAGGGTCCACGGAGACAGAGCGAAGGGTGGAGGAGGGTTCACGCACTCGGGGACAGGACGAGGGGGGAAAAAAGAGGCCCCCTCCCAAGTCCCTTCGGTGCGGGCCCTGAGGGCCCTCGGGGCGCAGCAGGACGCGAAGGCAAGGCCTAGGGACCGCTGGGACCCCGTGCCCCCTCCCCTCCCCCGCCTGCACCCGCCGCGCGCTCCCGACTCCCAACCGGGGTCGCGGCGCTCCGCCACAGAGTGCCGGGCGCGCGCCCCCCACACCGCGCCCGGCTCGCGCCGGAGCCCGACCTCCAACTCCTTTTCCGCCTCGTTCCCTTCCCTTCCCGAGCTCTCCTCACCGAGCTTTTTCCTCCGGCCCCGGCGCCGCCGTTTGTGCCAGCCGCCCTGCGCCGTACAGCGCGCCATACCCCGCCCCCACCACCCGCGACGCCCCGCCCCCGCCTCGCCCGGTGAACACGTGACCGCGTCCGGGCGGAGGAGATGAACAGGCGCAGGCGCGAGCCGCGCAGGGCGGGGCCATGGAGTTCAGAACACCCTCTTCCAGGAGAAAGGGGAAATAAATGGATCCGACGCTGACGCCGGGCTTCTCTGCGCCCTCCGCCCCGCCCCTTTTGTGCGAGAGGAGGAACGCAGTTGTGAAGGGCTGGATCGGGTCGGGGGTGGGGGTGGTGCTCGTACACGTTATCCAGCGAGTGGGAGGGGCATGCAAATTAATTCATTTACATAGACAGGCCCGTCTCCTTGGAGCGAAGAACGCTGCGGAAGGATGAGTAGCGGGGTCGGGGAGTGGCATGTAGATCATCGATATTATTTACATGGACAGCTCCCCTTCTCACAGCCCAAGATTAGGATTACTGAGAAGTGTCTGGGCAAATAGTGGGGAAATGTATGTAAATTTGCACGACAGCAAGTAATTTACATAGGGACATTTTATAAAGGAGAAGAAAAAAGCGGAACGTCCTTGACAGAAGGGAGAGAGGACTAGAAGGGATGTGCAGATTCTGACCCGCTCCGCTCTGCCCCTTCGGGACAACTGTGTGCAGTCCGAATAAAACCAGCTAGGAAAGCCAGTCAGAGACGTTTGCATGATTGTCTCGTCTTTTGAACATTCTGGACGACCTGACTTCGGGGGATAAAATGCAGATGAGGTCATTTAAATGCCCCGCCCCCTCCACCAGCCCCCAGGCTGAGCAGGGCCTCGGGCCTCCCTTGAGGGCAGTTTAAGGCCAGCCTAGGGGAGACAGAGTCACTGGGAGTGTCCTCAGTGGGCTACACCAGTCCCTGGCAGAGCACGTGCAGGAGTCAGCGGTCCACCTGGACACTGGAGGTAACACACTGATCTTAACTATGCACGGGGGTCAGGGTAGTACAAAAGCCCACAACAGTCCTCAGGGGCACACACAGGGTTCATGATCACATACAGGTGTGTCAACAGAGCCAAATACACACCAAAACACACACAGATCTAAGGGGCACATATACACAGTCAAGCACTAACTAGACACTGCCTCAGACTTTCAGGCATCAGAAATGCATAAGTATCACCCACTGGGCTGACCCAGGGCTCACCCACAGGCCTGAATTCTCATTCCCTAGCCTCAGTGTCCCAGACAACACCACCCTTGTAGACACAATCACCAAAGGCACAGAGCACTCACAAGCAAAGTGTCACACACACAAGTAGCACCCATTCCTACAGATCCCATCACACCCATCACAAACAGAAGGACCTTCGTGTTACATATGTGGGCAAAATTCCTCCACAATACACCTGAGCCATGGAGTCATAGTGGACCCCCACACCGTGTCCAACCCTAAAACATGGACTCCAAACATAATCAGGGACTTCATCTGCCTCCCTTCCCTCCCCACCACCCCAAAATGACAGAGGCTATGACACAGGTGTAAACAATGCTTTATGGGGGGGAGGGGCATTGGGACAGGACAGGCCTCCAGGTAATAAATAACACGTACTCGCAATGGCGGGGCCAGGGATGCTGAGGCCAAATGGCCCTGGTCTCAGGCTTTTTGAACTCTCTGAGTATGTTCAAAGAGGAGTGAGGGGCTCAGGGGAAACAGGGGTTAGCCAAGACAGAGGAAGCAGCAGCAGGTACGGAGAGATTCCCCCTTCCCCCATGGCTCAGTCTTGCCCCTCAGCCAGGCCCCACCAGGCCAGGGAAGGGAAGCCGGTGGCAGGGCAGCTTCTCTGGGGCCAGGGCAGGTGAGGGGCTCAGCCTCCCAGGGCCTGGGTCTGGGCCCCAGACGGAAGGACAGGGCTGGTCCTGGAGAGCAGGTGAGCTGTAAGAAAAGTGTGTGGTGAACTGGGGGGGTCCCGGGTCTGTCAGCTGCAGCTTTGTCGCCTTTCTGGTTATCTTCCTGCCCTCCTATCTGTGCCCTTCTGTCTATACTTTTTCTCCCTAACTTGCTATATTTTCTGACTTTCTGTTTCTTGTCTGCAGGTAATGTGCAGCTCTCACTCTGAGGGCACCCACATTCCCCTGTGTATTTGCCTCAGAGAGCTGTCTCCTTGAGTCTGTAGAGGGACGTCTTGGTGTCTACATTCTGTATCCCCACATTTGTATCTCTGTGTTCCTCTGTGTTCCTGGACTACCTCAACTCTAGGTCTCATTCCAGTGTTTTCCAAGTCAGAGATATATTGGACAATCGGTTCTTGCTTTGTGGTTATCTGAAGACAGCATTACCTGTGAGCTTCTAGAAATACCCAGATCACTTCAGAATCTCTGGGGTAAGGCCCAGGCATCAGTAGCTTTTAAAGCTCTCCAGGTGATCCCAATGTGCACAACTGCATTAGTGGGGAGGGAAATCAGTTTGGTGGGCCTTGAGCAATTTTTCACTGAAATAGAATAAAATAAAAAATACCAGAGTGCTTCATACATAATAATGTTGGTCCATAGACACAGAAAGCAAGTGGGTGTAGGTCAGAAGCTGGAGGGGAAACAGAGAGTGAATGTTTAATGGGTATGGGGTTTCCTTTTAAAATGATGAAAATGCTTTGAAACTAGACAGAGGTGATGGTTGCATAACCTCGTGAGTGTACTAAATGCCACTGAATTGTACACTTTAAAATAGCTAAATTTATGTGAATTTCACCTCTGTTTTAAGAATATTAGTATGAGGAAAATGTGTGTTTTAGTTTTCTATGTGTGTGACTGCATTAGACCAATATACAGAGTGTATTTCCTCCTGTAGATTGCAATCAGCAGTTTCAAAATGCACTCATTAGATTTGATTCACTGAGAAAACCCTGAAACAGACTCAAAATTATGTCCTGAGGTGAAACCCATCTGTTTCTACACAGCCCAGAGTCTTTAAATTGGATAAGAAGAAAAATAATAAACAGTCTTTAGTTTATTGAGTCTTAGTTTACTGACTGTCAGGCCCTGTTCTCAGCACTTTACATGACTTGACTTAATCTTCTCAACACTCACTTGAGGTAGGTACTATTATTAACCCCACTTACAGATGAGGAAACCAAGGCCCAGAGATGTTAAATAATTTGCCAACAGTCACGCAACTATGCAGTGAGAGTCGGAGTATAAATGCAGGCAGCCCAGCTCTGGAGTCTGTGATGTGTCACCTTCTCAGATGGGGGAGACAAACACCACACAATGTAAATAATGATGGAGGGGACAGAGTTGAACACTTTAAAAAGGAGGGACAGGGGCTTCCCTGTCCAGTGGTTAGGACTCTGCGCTTTCACTGTGGAGGGCGAGAGTTCCATCCTTGGTTGGAGGACTACGATCCCATAAGCCATTTAGTACAGCCAAAAAAAGGAAATAATAATAAAAAGGAGGGGCAGTTGTGAGACTGCCCATCTAGAGAGAGTGACCCCTTTTGGGAAGAGACATTTTAGCAGAGACCTGATGATGAATGGGAGTTGGCCTGAGAAGGGAGGTAGGAGGACAGGCACGGCTGATGCAGAGGCCTGGAAGGAAAGGAGCCCCACCCCAAGAGCTCACCCTTGACTCATCTCTCTCAAATCCATTCATCTGGAAATTAGGTTGGCCCTGCTGTCAAAGTACCTGTCTCCAGGGTATAACCACTTTGCTCCAAGGCCATCCTGGAGCTGTCAATGGCTGAGGGGGGTGGGGCGGGGGGGAATGGCGAGTGGGTTTGAAGCAGAGAGACAAGAACTGTCAAGATGTAGTCACCCACAGAGAGGTGAGGATGGGACCAAGTCTTTCAAGCCTGCCAAGGACTCTGAATGAAGCACAGGGGAAGCAAGGCTTCCTGGAGGAGGCAGGGGAGGTTACCAGAAGAAGAGAGGGAAAGAAGCAGATTTGTGCTTTAGGATGACCCAGCAATTACATCAAGAGGGGACACGCCTGGAGGCCAGGATGATCTAACCTAACTCACCTTTCAACCCCTCCTCTGCCCCCACCCTGGTCCTGTCCCCTGCCCCTACCCTGGTCAAACAGTCTTGACTTTGCAGTAGCCTCCTCACTGGTCTCTGGGCAACCACCCCTGCCCACCCCACCCCCACTCCCCCGCAGTCTCTCTGTTTGCAGCCAGAGGGGCCCTATGAACACCTGAATCAGATCCTGTCCCTTCTCTGCTTGTATAAGCCAGAGCTTTCCCTGTGGCCCACGAGGCCCTCACTCATCTGCTTCCCCCACCCCAACCTCATCTTCTGCTCACCTACCCCCCAACACACTCACACACACACATCCACTCATTCCACTGCAGCCACACTGGCCACCTTGACTTCCTCACCCAGGGGAGGCAGGACCCTACCTCAGGGCCTTTGCACTGGCTCTTCTTTCTGCTTATAACACTCTTCCCCCAGGTCCCCACACGACCCCCTCCCTCACTTCCTTCAGGTCTTTGCTCAAATGTCACCTTCTCAGTGAGCCCTCCCCTCATCATCCCATTTGACCGTCCACTCCTCCACCTCCCCACCCTGCTTGATTCTTCTCCATAGCTTTTATCGCTCTGGCTTTGTACAGTTTGCTCCTGGGTCTTGTTTATTGTCTGTCTCTTCCACGAAGGCAGGGATTCTTGCCTGTTTTCCCCACTGCTGTTATCCCCCATGCTGTGAACAGGGTCTGGCGCGTAGTAGGTGCTCAACAGACATTTGAGGAATTATGAATGGGAGGGTCAGAGATGCAGGGCAGAGAGCTGGCAGTGGGATGGGAAGAATGGGTGGATCTCCCGTGTCTGGGAAGACAGCCCCTTTTCCTGATTGTGTCTCCTTTTCTATGTCGCTGTCTCTGCTCTGTCCTCCCCATTGCTGGGAGACCAGCCCTGCAGCTCCCGGGTCCCCAGAATCCCACCTGACTCTGCAGGTCTCAGCAGCCACAGGGCTGAGGGGCCACGGCCTGGGCACTCCGAGGCTGCCGCAACTGGCGAAGGGAGGCATCACCGTACTGAATGCCGGAGCCCATCCTCTCGGGGTCCAGCTCACCTGGGGGGAGGGAGGGGAGAGGTCAGGACCAGTCCCTGGAAACCTCTGGGCTCTGCCTTCCACTCCCAGGCCAGTCAGTTGGGGGTCTCACCTGAGTCAATCTTGTTCAGAATGGTGCGGGCACACTTCAGGAATGCCTCCTCCACATTCTCACCCGTGAGAGCGCTTGTTTCCAGGAACATTAGCTCTGGTGGGGGCAGGGGGACAGACACTCAAGACGGTCAGGGCCTCAGTCAGTCTCTAACCTCCACTCAGACTCTGACCTGCTACCTCTCATTCTGTCCCTCAAGCCTTCACTTCGGGCCTGCATACAATATGTTCCCCTGCCATGAATGCCCCCTTCCCCAGGTACCCACCGGGATCTTCCTTCAGAACTCAGCTCCTATCTCCTTCTCCAGGAAGCCCTCCTGACTTCCCAGGGTGAATCAGGTGCCTTCCCGGGGCTCTCATTGACCTGTTCGCCTCCCCCTTCCCAGCCCTGACCTCTTTGCACTGTCACTCTCTGGAAATGGTCCTCCTCCCTCCGTCCTGGACTGTGGGACCATGAGAGCTGGGCCCAGGGCTGTTTTCATCACTGTGTCCCCAGCACCATCCAGCACAGGCCCCATTCATAGTCCACCCATCATTAGCCAGGTGACAAGGCCTCACAGTAAGTCAGAGCCAGCATTCAAACCCACATCTTTCTGATAGCAAATCCTCTAAACCTAGAGGTTACAAAATGAAGGAACATGGACAGACCCTAAGTCAGCAGATGTGGACCAACACAATGTTTTCAAATGAGTTTAGACCTGCATACCTCTTATTGTAGTCACTAGTTTAGTTTTTGGATTCCACATATAAGTGATACCAAACAGTATTTATCTTTCTCTGACTTACTTCACTTAGTAATATGTTCCAAGTCCATCTATGTTGCTGCAAATGGCATTATTTCATTCTTTTTTATGGCTGAATAGTATTCCATTGTGTATATATACCACTTTATCCATTCATCCGTCGATAGACACTGAGGTTGCTTCCATATCTCAGCATTTATAAATAATACTGCTATGAACACTGGGGTATCTTTTTTAATTCATTTTTTGTTTTTTGTTTTTTTAAGATACATACCTAGGAGTGGGATTACTGTGTCACATGGTAGTTCAATTTTAGTTTTCTGAGAAACTGCCATACTGTTTTCAAAAGTGGCTGCGCCAGTGTACATTCCCAACAACAGCATACCGGTGTTCATTTCCTCTAAATCCTTACCAACATTTGTTATTTGTGGTCTTTATGATGATAGTGTACTTGCATACCTTTCAGTGTGGCTGTCAGTCTTGTCCATTCCCCTAACATCAGTGCCTGCTAACCTGAGGGTCTCCCCTGCCCTTCTCCCTTATTCACAAAACGTGCCTGTCCCCTATGGCCATCAGGGTTTGCAGTCTCCACCTTATACCAATATTCTATGCTGCCTCCCCATGGTGGCTGAAACCTTCTTAACAGCCAACATTCATCAAGCACCCATTCATCCAAGCCATGCCGAGAGTTCCCCTGGACCAGCTCCCTTTAACCATCATACACCATGTAAAGCAGAGTGTGTGATAGATAGTTAAGGGAGGTGGTCCAGGGGGGCACCCATTTTTCCAGATGGGGAAACGGAGTGGTCATATAGCCCGCACATGGCCAACACCCAGATTTGAATGCAGACCTTTAAAGTTGCACATTGCCCTGCTGAGCAGAGCCACAGAGAGCTAGGGGGCTCTCCCAGGCTCCCCCTGAATGGCCCCCATTCCTCTGCTGGTCCCCTGCCCCACTGATCCACCACCTAGCCCTCACCGTTCTCCTGGGCAAAGCGGGAGGCCTCCAGGAAAGTGACCTCACGCTCCGGATCCAGGTCCTTCTTGTTGCCACAGAGAATGACCACGATGTTGGGGCTGGCCAGTGTGCGCGCATCCGTCAGCCAGGCAGCCAGCGAGTTGTAAGTCTCCCGGCTATGGAAAAGGGAGCCAGGAGGCAGGCAGGTGCAGCGGCAGGGGGCAACCCGGGCCCCACCCCACCCGCTCCGTGCACCCACCTGGTGATGTCATATACCAGCAGGGCTCCGGCTGCCCCTCGGTAATAACTCCGTGTCACCGACCTGTGGGGCCAGGGGGACCCAGTCACCCCCGAGGCTGGGGTCTGCCCCAAGACTGCCCCCCTCTGCGGAGAGAGACTGGTGGTTCGGAGGCCCCTCTGCACTGCTGGCCCCTCCTCCTAAACCTGGCCATGGTCTGGGTCTCACTACAGTTTCTCCCACTGGTAGCCTACTTCCCTCAATCTTTATCTTGGCTGCCTACCTCTGTCACAATCTCTCCCTACCATTTGTTTGTCTTTGGCCACACCGTATGGCTTGTAGGATCTTAGTTCCCTGACCAGGGATGGAACCTGGGGACCTCGACAGTGAACGTGCCAATCCTAAGCACTGGACCACCAGGGAATCCCCTCTCCCCACTTTTGACTCTCTGTGTCCCTGTCTTTCTGCATCTCTTCCTTGGTATGTACCGTTCTATCTCTTGTATGCGTATCTATCTTTAATTCTCTATTTCTCTCCATCTCTGTTGCTCTGGCTCTGTCAACCTTTCCCTTTCATTCATTGTTTCCCATTCATTCAACATTTTCTGTCATCCCCCTTTGCCCAGTCCTGGGCAAGCACTATGCAACTACATCCGCTCAGCTCTCTCCTGCTGTTTGGGGAGGCCCCATTCCCAGGGTGGTTAACTGTCTGCTTCTTGCTGTGTCACCAGGCTGGATCCCTCTGGAACTCGTGCAATCACACCACAACCATTTACAGAACACTTACTGCCATCTTGGCGCAGTCGCACACCTCTCTCTCCTGCATCCTCTCTTTGTCTCTGGGCAGCTCACAGAATGAACTCTCACATGAATATTAACTCAGCAGCTACTCAGTGCTGACCAGGGACCACCCTTTCCCAGGAGCTGGATTCCCTCGTTTCTCTCTGCTGGCTATTTCTCACTCAGGGTTTCCATGTGTCTATCACTTTTTCTGCAGACATTTCCCAAAGACATACTGTGTGCTGAGCCCTCCACATTGGCCTGTCCCCCCAAAACATCCATTTCTCCATCTCTCTGGCCACACCTGTCCCATTCTCCCTGTCTTTGTCTCTCACCTCTATTTGAGTGTCCTAATCTCCCTCTTCTCTCTCAGTCTGTCTCTTTTTCTCCCTTCCTGAGTGTCTGTACCTCTCAACTTTCCTTTTCTGTTTCGGTCATTTTCAGTTACTCTCTGCTCCTTGCCCCACCTAAAGCATCTCCTCCTCTCCAGGCCTTATTGCTCCCTGGAAATAAGTCTCCATCCTTCCAGCCATATGGGTCTATCCCACAGGGTCTCGCTAGGGTCGGTCATCCCTCCCTGGCCCTCCCACTCTTAATCATGCTTCCTTCTCAATCTCTTTTTATCTGTCTGCCATCCTCTCTCCAAGATACCTTCTTTCTTTGACTACAGGACCTGCTCATCGCAGTCTCTCTTGCCCTCTCTCTCTACCTTGCCCACCCTCTCAGTGTGCCCTTGCTCCTGTCATTATGTTTCCAGGTAACTCTGCATGCCTCTTTCCCTTCTCTCTCCTCCCCTCTCCCCCATGCTTTCTCACTGGGAGCCCAGCCCACCTACCGAAACCGCTCCTGGCCAGCTGTGTCCCAAATCTGTAGCTTCACGGTCTTCCCACCCACGTTGACTACCCGAGATCCAAACTCCACGCCAATTGTGTGGTTGGAGTCCTGTTTGACTGGGAGTGGGAGGGAGAGAAGAGACAGCAGGGCACTCAGAGGATTCCCCGTCCTCTGAGGCCTGTGCAAACCCATTCTCATTGCTGGGTTGACTGAGGCTCAAGGAGGACCTCGCAAAGAGTGTATACCAAAGGACGGACCTGGCAGCCAGCACTGAAGTTGTACCTAAGGCCAGCCCCACCCCTGCCCAACAGCTGCCTACTTGCCCCCACCATGGCCCTGTCCATGGTTTAGTGCACCCAGAACCACTCCCAGAAACTCACATTTATTCTCAATGAACTGATGAAGGAGACATGATTTGCCTGTTCCTGCACTGCCAATCACCAGGAATTTGAAGAGGAAGTCTGAGCGGATGGAGCCAAATTCAAGAAAAACCCATTCGGAGAGAAAGACAAGGAAAGATGGAAACCAGGAGAACATCACAATTACAGGGAGAGAAACAGACACAAGCAGATACAGAACTGTGGGTAACAACCATTACAGATAATTCTTGCAGAGTGCTTACCACATACCCAGCACAAGTAAAAGTCTTTTCTTACATCAACAACTCACTTAATCTTCAGGAAAGCTCTGTGAAGGAGGTATACTAATAATTATCCCCATTTTCCAGATGAGAAAACGGAGGTCTTGAAAGGTTAACTGACTTGCCCAAGATCCCACTGCTAGGTACAGCTGGGATTCAAACCCAGACCAACTGGCTCCAGAGTCCAAGTAACTATTACTTTGCTAAAGCCTCTGGAAAACCATTTTATCAAGGACTACAATCTTGTCCTTGCCCCCCCCCCCTCCCCGCCCCACAACGTCGCTTCCTACCACTTTCTGATTCATTCACTGCACTCCAGCCTCTGGCCTTGTCTACTCCGTGAAGATGACAAGCTGTTTCCTACCTCAGCCTCTTTGTATTGTTCCCTCAGCTTTTCTCTATTTGTTGAATGAATGCAGCTCCCTCTGACTCCTAATCCATTGTTCTTTCTACTGAATCCTGTTCTCTCACTTTCTAACCATCCATACATCCGGATTTTCCAACTCTGTCCCTTCTTCCCTCCCGCAGTCCGAAGCACTACTGCTAGTCTCAAGCTTAAGCCCCACCCCTTGCCGCTAGTCCCACCCCCTAGTTAAAGAAAAGCGCACCCGCAACCGCATTCCAGCCTTTCTCCCAGGGTAATCCCTGGGTTCAGAGCATCCCTTCAGTATCCCCCAGCCCATCAAGCTTGATCCTTGCCATTCACAGTCAGCTCCGCCCCATCCACTCAGGCTCCGCCCAGACACAGTAAGGATCATCCTTTCCTTCAAGGTCTACCACGACCCATCCTCACTGCATCCCTCAAATCCCGCTCGATTTCGCCCACACCCGACCCTCAGGCTCCGCCCAAATTAACTAAGCTCAGCCTCACACCCACTAAACCCCTCCCAGCAACCTCTAGGCTCTGCCCCATAATACCAGGCCCCGCCCCCTGACATATAAGGCCCCGCCCCATACACAGGCCCCATCCCTCCTGGGCCCAGACCCCAGACCCCAGCGCCCGCCCACCACCCTCACCGTAGGTCTCAGCCATGACTCGGTGGCGGCCGCTTAGAGCCGCAAAATGGCGACACGGCCGCGCCTGCTCCTCGGCTGGCAGCCGCTCTGCTCGGGGTGCAGCCCCGGCTCCTTCCTACTCCCGGGGCCGGCGCCGCCACTTCCGCCTCCACCCCCCTCCGGCGCGACCCGCTAACGCTGCGGGATACTAGGGAACGCTTCCCCAAGGCCGGGATTGGAGGACTCGGCAGGTAGGGGGCGGGACAAAGGCGCAGATTGGTGGTAAGAGGAGCAGGGTCTAAAGGGGCGGGACCAAGACGAGCGATTGGTGGTGCCACAGATGCTTCGCCCAGCTCAGAAACGGATTTGGTCAGGAGCCCAGGGGCAGAGTCGAGATTCCAGATTGGGTAGGAGCGGACTTGGGGGCGGGGATACGGATGCAAAGAAGGGAATAAGTGTAAGATTGACAGAGCCTAGAAGAGGAACTACCCTGAGCTGGAAGTACTGATCTCAAAGGCAGGAAGGATGAAAACTGGGATGGTACGCACAAATTAACCTCCTACCTGCCTTTGCGGAAAATCTTAACAAGAGAACCCAGAAAACCTCTGCTCTATGATCTGTGTCTTGCTCATGGTCCCATTGGCTCATTCCTAACAGTTCAATAGTTCTATTAGTCTAGAGAGGACAGTATAATTCCCCAATTTGGCAGTTCAGTTATTCCATCTTCTCATTTGTCTGTAATAGCTAAGCTTAGGAGCCCACCTCGACCGATCTTGGAGCAGAGCCTGCAGTCCTTGAAACTCTGCCTAGCAACCACTTATGTCACCACAGTTGGTGGGTTGATTGGCTAGATTCAGAAACTTTTTTTCTAGATCCCCACCACAAAGACCACAGAGACCCAGTTTGCACTTGGCTGATGTATTTGCATAAAGTCGGGGAGAAACAACAGCACTGACAGCATAGACTGAGCTCACTGGCAGTAGAAATCCCATATCTGAAAAAGAGAAAGGGGAAACAGTGGGGAGAAAACCAGTGGTCACACCACAAAGGATCTAGTGGTTTTAGCAAATGCTGCAGCCTCAGGGACCAGGTTTGGCTGCACAAGTGCTATGCAAATTAGCCTGGAGTGCTCAACTGCAGCTTTCAATCGAACTTGGATTTAGAAATCACTCATCTTTCAGATAAGAAAAGGCAGGCAGTCTGTTCCAGCACACGCAGCGAGGCTGCCAGGGCGACGAGGTTGCTAGGGTGCTGAGGTTAGGAGCATCTTTGCTTGTCACTGCAACCCAAAGGTCCTCCCTCCAGATTCCTGCCAGCCCCCAAGATACTCACATCTGTCTTGACATCGGTTTTGGCAGGTTTCAGGGTCTGGTCTTCACGTACGATGCTACTGGGGAAATAGCCCAGGCGAGCAGCTCCGTCTCCATAGTAATCTCCCTGAACCTGGGGAAGAGGAGTTAAAAGCCGGGGTCTGGGAACATGGCAAGCTCATTCCTGCTGAAGTCCTGTGCATACTTGCTCCTCCCTGATCTAGCTGGCCCCATCCTTGTCAGTCCAATCTCAGCTTAAAGTCGCCTGCTGCAAAGTCCTCCCTGACCACCCCATGTGAATTAGTCACCCAGTCACTTTATACTAATTCTCAAAGCAGCATACACGAGTTGGTATTTTTGATGGCTTGCCTCCTTCCATCAGAATAAAAGGCATCATTCTTTATTGTACCTTCAGTGTCTATAGCAGTTTGGCACTACAGGACATGCCCTAATAATTGCTAAGAAAGAAAAACAGAGTGGATCACAGCAGCCACCCCCTGCCGACTATTTCAGTTCACTCCCTGGGATTTGCCCTGTAGGTAAAAAAGTAGGGTACACTCCCACCCCAGCTCTCTCTCCTTTCCTCCTCTGTTCTTCCAAGACTCACGCTGCCTCCCCAGAAGAGCCGCCCTCGGCCCTTGAGCTTGGAGAAGACATACACCACTTGGCCCTGGTGTATGGTCAAGAAACGGCAGTCAGGGGCCACGTAGTCCTGAAGGGCCACGGCCATGGAGATGGGGTCTGGAGAAGGAATATAGAAGGGAGTGAAAGCACCCTCCACACAGGCTAGCAACCAAAGCCCTCCACACCCCCCGGGACCCCTAACGCTCACGGCTGCATTCCTCATCGGCACACATCTTCCGGTCAGCCAGCTTGGGCATGGGGCGGCCGCCAGCACCAGGCCCCGGGAAGGCAGACAGCAAGACGACACCGAGAAACACCAAGGACCAAGCCATCATGGACTCTGGGCAAGACAATGGCTAAGGCAGGAATGAGGTCTCCAGTTTCCTCCTGCCCTCCCTCGGCAGTAGCATAAGGAAAACTGTGTTCTGGGTCTGGTCCCCTCCTAAAACCAGCCCCAGATTTCACCCACACCACCTAGAGGCTGCTACCCAGGCAGAACCATTTCAAGGACAGGGTGAGGGTTGCCAGCACAAGGAAATACCCAGAGAGGCCCAAGGCAGCCCAGGCCACTCCAAGTAACAAGTCACCCCCCTCAACAGAGAGGCTCAGACAGGCAGGTTAAAATATCCAATTCCATCTTTCCCGAGTTGGCTTGGAGACCTAGGCCCCTCAGCTGTGCCCCCGGAGACAGAACAAGAGGAGCCAGTATGGAAAAACCACCTTGGAATTTCCTGTGCTGAGGGGCAGCAGAACAAGGCAGCCCTTTGATTGCCAGAAATAGCCCCAGCTCTCAAGTACGGAGTGAATATTATATGTTGGGCCTTAGGCTAGGCGATGTCCAACCACGATCACTATTTCTTCTCAGAAACCACTTCCTGACTGCCCTAAACTACTCTCAGAACCTCACCTTTCTCATCTGGGATACTATTTAATAAAGAATTCACCATACATATTTTTATTAGTTCAAATGCATACCCTGCACCACCTTGAAGGGGGACCATTATAATCCCATTCTAGGTAGAAATGGAAGCACAGAGCCTTAAGGAACTTGTCCAAGGTTAGTGTCAGTAGGTGGAGAAGCTAGATCTGGCTGTAGGCCCATACCCATCACTACTGGGCTTGGAGCTGTCATTTGCCCAAGGCCAGTATGAAACAGTGGCAGAGGATGTGAACTCAAGTCTCCTATCAAACCACGCTTCACAGAGATCCACTTGCCTGAAGACCCATCTCTTTCCTCAGGTATTCTCACCTCTGGCCAGCAAGTCCAAACTTTAGTTTTAGGGGAAGAAGATGGACACGCACTGGCTTGGAGTGGGGAAGGATTCCTCCTGGTCAAATACTGGGCCTAAGCCATCTCCACACACACAACACCAGCACCAAGTACCATACAAGCATCAAATAGCTCTATTCATGTCACCACCCAGAGGCTTCCCTTGATCACCCATTACTGCCCCCCACCTCCACCACCCCATCATGTCAGTTCTACTTCTATCAGAACTCAGCATCTAAAATTAGTCTGTTTATTTCATTCACTACTGCATATCCTATGCCACAACAGTACCTGGTGTGTATTAGGTACTTGGAAAGTTATCTGTGGAATTTACTGAGTGCTTGCTAAGTACCTGAGGTGGGGTGCACAGCTCAGGAAGAAAAATGAAACTCAGAGTGGGGACATCAGTTGTCTTATCGTGGGGGCCGGGGGGGCTGTCCAGAGACCCCACGTTCCCATGTGCTGTCTGCAATAACTTTATGTGGTGAAGATGACAATCACCCTCCTGCTTCCATCTTTTAGATCCTACAAGGAGGAAGTGTGCATGTGGTGCCCTAAGTCTTCAGCCTTTCCAACACCGTCGTTCCTCTTTAATGGAGAGAGCAGAGCAAGTGCAAGCTGGGGCTCAGAGCCTTAACACGGGAAAGGACATCCAGGGAGAATTTAACACTGTGCCTCATTGTATTTATTTTTGTGGTAATTTTCTATTTCTGGCAAGGGATCTCATTTTGCTATCTATATGGTGTGAGAAAGGGTTTTAAGCTATATATATATATATATATATATATATTTATACACACACACACACACATTTAGTCAACTTAAAAATTGTCAAGTCAGATCTGTGACAGACTGCTAAGCTTCAAAGGTCCCCCATTCAATCTCCCTTCTTATCCAGCTTCAGCTGTTCAGCCAGAAACCACATCTAGCTTCCACTGCAACTGCAGCACTGAAGGGAGACTGAATCAGCCTCCTGCCCGAAGCTCCTGGCTGGTATCTCCCATGTGTGATCAATTCAGCAAGGACCCTCCCTGCAGCAGCAGCAGGGACCTCTTCCGGAATTCCAGAGACTGCAGCTCAATCAAGGGCTGCAAAGTTGAACTCAGCATCTCCAACCCAAACTGCCATTCCTACCATCCTTTCAATGGTTTCGTGAATACTCATTTTCCTTCCCTTTCTTTCTGAAGCAGCTATAGTGGTTTCCGTGAGACTCCTGCTATGAGAGAAAGCATTTTTGTCTAGAAAAAGGTAAAGAAAAAACCTCTTTCTTAACACTCTATCATGTCAGAAAATTATTGCAATCAACATACGAGTCTATAGTGAATGGTGTGCCATTAAAAGAAGCATCCTTGTGCAGTACAGAACCTGCCCAACTGTACTTGGC